TTTGATGGAAGTATTTCAGATTGCATGTGAAAACCCCACACTGTACCCCAGAAGTGCATTAATGTACATAGTTACCATTCAATAAAAAGAAAAAATATATATTTAAAAATAGAAAAAATCAGCCAGGTGTGGTAGCACACACCTATCTATAGTTCCAGCTCCTGGAAGATTGAGGCAGGAGGATTGTGTGAGCCTAGAAATTTGAGGTTGCAGTGAGGTAGGCTGACACCATGGTATTCTAGCCTGGGCAACAAAATGAGTGTCTGTCTCCAAAAAAAAGAAGAAATTGTTAATTTTTCTAGGAGTTATAATGGCATTACCATTATGGGGGGGGTTTGTTTGGTTTTTTTTTTTTTTTTTGCAGTTTTTGGCTGGGGCCAGGTTTGAACCCACCACCTTCGGTATATGGGCCCAGTGCCCTACTCCTTTGAGCCACGGGCACCATCCAACCACTATGTGCTTTTAAAAGTCTTTCTCTTTTACAGATAATGTACTGACTGAAATATTAACACATGAGATTATATAATGCCTGGGAACTTGGCTCTAAATAATCCAGTATAGAGTGGGGAAGGTAGTAAGTGAGAATGTAGATGAAACTGAGCTGCCATGACTTGAAATTGTTGAAGCTAGGTGATGAGTAAATGGTGATTCATGGTATTAACAGCATTCTCTCTATTTTTGTATGTTTAGAATTTTCCAGTGAAAAGCTTTTTTTAAAAATGATTGTAGGCCAGGCACAGTGACTCACACCTGTAATCCCAGCACTTTGGGAGGCCAAAGTGGAAGGATCCTGTGAGGCCAGGAGTTCAAGACCATCTTGGGCAAGATTGTGAGACCCTGTCTCTATAAACAAATAAAAATTAAAAAATTAGTTGGGCATAGTAACATAGGCCTATAGTCCCAGCCACTTCAGAGGCCAAGGCAGGAAGATCGCTTGAGCCGGGAAGTTCAGGGTAATAATAAGCTGTAACTGATCACGTGCCTCAGCACTCCAGCCTGGACAACAGAATACATGTAGAAGTGAAAATAAATAAATAAATAAATAAAATAAAATAAAACAAAACCAAAAAATGGATTCTAAAGATTAGAATCCAAACCAAAAGTAGTCTTAAGAATCCACACCATGAGGTAGTTTTCCAGTGTGGAGACCCTTCCCTTCAGATGGGTCTGTTCTGATCATCCTTAAAAGTTCCAGCTTCCTCTGAAGGAGGCTCCGAGTAGACACCACAGCAGTGTCTCCTGTGAAACAAACCCAGCAAGAGGGCCAGCCGGAACCACAAAGAATGCCGGCCAAAGGGAAAGGGAGGTTGGAGTAGTGGTGAGTTTACCACTTCAATCATCCCACCAAACTGGGTACAGATTCCCAGGAAGGTGACTTTACTGCTATCGTAAAAATGTGGTTGGTTGCTATCAGGTATTTGGTGGGAAGCTCCCAGTGTTTATAGCCAGGAAAAGACAATTAGACATGACTCATTTGGATCTTGGCAAGCCGCAAACTGCTCACGCGTTTGGATAACCTACCGCCAGAGTGGGAATTAAAGTTTTCAGGGATTTGTACTGTTTGATTTCGCAAACGTGAATGTATTTAAGATTCAGTGATAGTTCAGATTTAAATGCTAAAGTTTCAATCGTGTCTTGTTACTTCTCTGTAAGTCTTTAGCCCCTGTGTGGTAAAATAGATACAGCTCTTAATTTGTTGTCATTGCTGAGCTTTTTTGTACCTAGAACTTTAGCCAGTACTACCTAGATATGTCTATATAGAACCTATAAATTCAATCCCAAATCTCTATCATCTACTTAAGAAAACAGTGAACTGAGGAAGAGGCTCTTGTAAGATCCGCCTGACTCAGATCTCAAGGCTGAAGCTCACCTAGTCACTAAGCAAGCCCTCAGCACCAGAAATATGCTACTGCCTATTTAGAGCAGGCAAAAAAGGAAAAAAACACAAGGCAACAATAGGTATAAGATTTTGCAATGCCATCTGGTGGATGTTACTAAGCCATATCCATGTTCACATTTCCTTCCTTCCTCCTTCAGTCTCTTTGTCTTAAATGCTTGCTTTTCTGAAAGGAGAAAATGTTTGCTGTAAATGCTGACTTGGAAGGCTGGGGGTGGGATGGCAAACTTGTAAACCTCTTGTAAAAGGCAGCGGGTTATTCTGCTATTAGAAATAAAACAAATGGAAGTTGACTTGAGCCATGGAGGGCGGCAGCCTTCCCATCCCTGCGTTCCTCATGGAGTTCACTGATGATGTCTTTGTGATGTGGTTAATAATAGGAGGATGCTGTGGAAATACGTCCGGTACCAGAATGTCCGAAGGAACATCTGGGCAACAGAATCCTGATGAAGTTGCTGACTCTGAAGTAAGTATCAGCAAGCACACTACTACTGCTTGGAGATTTCTCTCGCCTTTTAGAGACAAGCTATGTCTTTATCATGAGAGATTGAATCAGGGAGGAGCTCCCAACACATTTTTAACAGTGGGCAGCCATAGAAATGGCAGAGTTTGGGGTCTGTTCCTGACCTCTGTTCCTACCAAGCTTTGACAGTCATTCTTCTATAATAAGGAAGGCAAACACAGATGTCACCAAGGTCAGGCATGTCAGGTAACTGAGGTGAATGGCCTCCATTAAGAAAAAACCCCAGCAAAATGAGTGGTGTGCTGGAGTCCATGCCTACTAACTGACAAAAGCTGAAAATTCCATGTTCAGTGAAATCGCATCAGTAACTTTAAATTGGCCATGGGGAAAGTATTGACAACATAGAAATCAGCAAATGCTACAAATGAGCACCCTTCCCCCCCACCAGGGATAATTTATTAAATATTTACCAGCACACCACTGTTAAATAGAACAATAAATGCAAGTGAAGCCCAGTTTAGTACCAAGAGACAAAAGGGAGTGGTGGAGACTGCAGCAAACTGTGTTAAGGGGGGCTCCCACTACTAGCTGCAGCCAACTCTTGCCATCCAAGGAAACATTTTTTTCAATTGTCTTATTTCTTTTTTTGATAAAAGCTAAAAACCCAGATTTTCCAGCATAATTCCCTGGCTCCCTAAATATCTTCTCATTTCTTTTTTAAACACCACACAAAACATGTCTACAGTTCAGTTTCATCTTGCGGGCCAATTATTTGTCACATCCCCTTTAAGGCAATTGTCTCTCATCTTTTCCATTGTGTATTTTTATAGTTAAAAGGTCACGTGTCTTCTGTGTAAGTGTATTAATTTTGTTTTGTACTAGCATATTCAAATGCTATCCACATTATAAAACATACATGAGAAATTTTAAAGGGTGTACTAAAGGTATCTAGCATTTTCTTTCTCCAGTGGCGTGTCTTGTGTACCCACTGGAGTGCTTCCACATCTCTTCCTCTTTGAAGGCTGCTACTTTAGAGAATTAATTTTTCCATTTGGGATAAACCCAGGGACCCTTTTGAAAATGTTAAAGTTGTAAATACTCGACCTAAGCAAAAGTACATAACCACAACCTTTTTCATATGCTATTAGGAGGATGAGCCATCTTTCTTTTTTTTTTTGGCCAGGGCCAGGTTTGAACCTGCCACCTCCAGTATATGGGGCCAGCGCCCTACTCTTTTGAGCCACAGGCGTTGCCCAGAGCCATCTTTTGAAACCAGTTCCTCGGTCCCCTAAGCAGCACCTGGTTTGCCTTTAGGCAGCTGACTTCTAGATTCAAGACTATGTTTCAATCCTGGGAGACATCCATGAGATTTTGAGTTCTTACCTATAAATGACATTGTTAGACCACGTGGTCTTAAAGTTCCCATGTACTATAAGCTTCTGTGATTCTACATATAGCCTCTGCCAACTTCTTCTGCCTCAGAACACAAGCTAGCATGGCTGCCCACACGGGTGTGAGTGCTGTCTTCATATTGTAGCCCCCAGCTAGTTCTATCAGTGGGGCACCAGGGCCTCTGTCTTGTACACACCAGCTCTGGATCAAGTAATGGGTACAGAAAGATGAACTCCAACCTGGCAAGCCAACCCGGAAGTGAGAGCTCCCAGCCCGTCAGGCCCGCAGTGGGCCTGAGTGGAAGTGCTGTTCCCTCTTCATTGTCCAGGACGTCCACACTATTGTCCGCAGCTCCCACCTACCCCCACAGGATGTACAACCAGGCTACTTTTAGACGCAGCAACTGTGCCGTTTGGGATTGGAGGATGCTTGTCACCAAGCCTTCTAGACCTTTCCAATAAGTAAAAAGCAGCTGTTCTCACAGGTGGGAAAACATGACCCAGTAAGATAAACACATGTTATTTTTTAAAAATGGAGTCACTTGGATTTCTCTTAATGACAAGTGTCAAGTCCACTCTCTAGTGATGTTTCCCTCAACTGCCAAAGCAGAAATTAAGTGGAGTGGATGTGTTTGCCCAGTGCACGTGGCCTGCTCAAGTATCTCACATACTAACAGACACCTACAAGGGGGAGATCGACCAAAGAAAGGGCACTAGGTATAACTACTTCAAGTAAACAGGAAAAAAGAAAGGAAGCAAAGTCTTACTGGCAAACCTAGAATGTGAAAGTCTGAATAGTAAAAATTTAAGGATAATATTAATGGCAGATGTTTCCCCATTGACTTTGATATGCAGAATTCTATTTATAATGCTCTAGATTTTAGCAGCTAGGGAATTTTTTTTTTTAAGTTGTGGAGATTTTTTAACTGTGTCTGTATTGCGTTTGAGAAATAAATAAAGCCTCGAGGATATAGAAAGAATTAGACTGGAGAAAATTCTCCAAATATTTAAAGCACTGAGAAAAAACAGGATGACAACAAAATATTTTTCTGTTTTGTATTTTAAGTGGGGAAATCTTTTACTTTAAGATTTAATACCATCCTATCCAAAGTAGCCTCAGCTCTTAGGAGTTTTCTTGGTAATAAAACTTTGACATGCATGGTGGCTCATGCCTGTAATCCTAGCACTCCGGGAGGCCGAGGCCGGTGGACTGCCCTAAACTCAGAGATTCAAGACAAGCCTGAGCCAGAGTCAGACCCTGTCTCTACCAAAACAAAAAAACAAAAAACTTTAACATGCATAAAATTTACCCAGAGAGTTTGTTTTAAATGTAGATTTGGGAGCCCTCCCATAGTCATTTCCTTCAAGAGATTCTGGTTCAGGAGGTGGTACCAAGAAACTGCCTGCTAACAAACTCTTCCTGTGCTTCAGAATAGTGCTTTTCTGGGGAGCTGGAGAAACACTTGTGGGAAAAGCCTAGGTCCTGTGATCAGAAAGAGCTGGGCTCAAACCCTCATTGTGCTACTTCCTAACTTTGTGGCCTTTGGCAAGTTCCTTCATCTCTCTGAACCTTGTGGTCCTCATGTATAAAATGTGGATAATATCTGCCTTACACTGTCGTGAAAAGTAAAAAGGTTGACTTGTGTGAAGCACTTATCACAGCATAATTGTTAGGTCTTTAATAAATGTCAGTTCTCCCCCAAGTGCAGTGACTCACACATGTAATCCTAGCACTCTGAGAGGCTGAAGCAGGTGGATTACTTGAGTTCAGGAGTTCAAGACCAGCCTGAGGAAGAGTGCCTCTAAAAAAATAGCCAGGCATTGTGGTAGGCACCGGTAGTCCGAGCTACTTAGGAGGCTGAGGCAAGAGGATCGCTTGAGCCCAAGAGTTTGAGGTTGCTGTGAGCTGTGATGCCATAGCACTCTACCAAGGGTGACATAGTAAGACTCTGTCTCAAAAAAAAAAAAAAATAGTTCTCTTTTTCTTAAACTTAACACTCAGTGCTTACCTAAGTCACAATATTCAGACCCTTTGGGTATTAGGGAGCAACCTGATGAGAGCTGGGGAGCCTAGGCCCAGGGAGGGCCCCGGTTAATGTGCTATGATCTGATAATTGGAAGAATCAACACGGAAATCCTCGACCTTGGGCTTTCTGGTGGTAAAATGCACATAACATAAAATCTACTGCCTTAACCACCTTTAGTGGACAGTTCCATGGTGCTGTGTACATTTGCATTATCCGTCTCCAGAAATACTTTTCTTCCCAGACAAAACCCTGTACCTGTTAAACACTAGCTCCCCATTCCCTGACTCCCCAGCTGCTGTCAATCACAATCCCACTTTCTGTCTCTCTGAATTTGAGTACTCTCGGAGCCTCGTATAAGAGGAATCACAAAATATTTATCTTTTTGTGACTGGCTTACATCACTTAGCATGACATCCTTGGGTTTATCCCTGCAGTAGACTCTGTCAGAATGCCCTTCCTTTGTAAGGCTGAATATTATATGTACATATGTATGTGTATATATAAAAAGAGCAGTTTGTTCGTCCATTTATCTGTTGTGCAAATGGTGCTGCTTCCACTTTGGGGCTATTGTGAATATCGATGCTGCTCCACATTGTTTTTAAAGTACATTCACACATCGCCCTATGTGAACCTTACAGTATCCTGGAAAATGGGAAGGGCAGATAAATAAATGGAACTGGGGAAGGTGAGTAACCTGATTAGGATCCCAGTCCGGGCAGGTGGTAGAAGAGGAACAGGGCCCAGGTCTCTCGGACTCAGTGGCCTCTGAGTCTGCCAGTATTCCAAGCCACCTCATTTGACCAACTAACCTTTTTGTCTGTGCTTACACTGTCCAAATATTCTTCTAAAAAGTCCTCTTTTGAGACATCTATCCAATGATAAGGCCGTCGTCTCACACATGCCTGGAGACAAAATGTGGCCTACTTTGCATGACCTTTGAAGTGATGGTGGACAAGGGCGTCTACTGATTCTCTCCGCAGGCAGTGTCCAAGGTCACGATTGTGAAGCTGAGAAACTTGGACAGTGCTTATTTGTGTTCCCTGTGCACCTAGTGAGGTGCTGGGTTTCTGCTGTAGGCACGTGTTCTCTTCAGTCTCACCATTTCCAAGGAAATTGAAAATTAAGGCCAATACAAGGGCTCCTTCCAGCTCTGGTGGGGTCTGGGCACCTCAGTGTTTATCTGCTGTGCTGAATCCCTTCCCCCACCTCAGTAATGGAGTTAGGAAGGGCCAGACGTTCTTCCACGTCATGACACAATCTTCCTCTGATCGTCCCACTGGAAAGCAGTCGAACTTTTCTTTTGTTACTGTCTAAAGAGCCCCATCCCTTAGAATTGAGTAAAAAGTGAAAACCAGTAAAAAGTGAAAACATAGACAGATCCATTACCTATAACAAAGACTATCTATTTTCTGAAAACATGGCAAGTACAGTGGTAAGAAGCTAGGTCAGACTAAAGCAGCAGTTCTCAACCTGTGGGTCGCGACCCACAGGAACTGTATTAAAGGGTCACAGCATTAGGAAGGCTGAGAACCACTGGGCTAAAGGTTCGTTCAGGCCACTCTCTCTTGCAGTGCTACCTGCAAGCAAATTTTGGAGACATCCCCAAAACATCCACCCCATTTTGGTAACATTCACTATGATTTCAAAGGATTAAGAATCTTCCATTAACCTCCCATATTTCCCCTTTAATATCCCACTCTAATTCTGATATATCTGGAGTTTTCTAAATACTTCTGGGATCTATTTCCTTTTTGAACCAGTTTTTATATCCAGGAACTTTCAAAAGATTCAAAATTATCTAAATTAAAGCCCTATAGATTTCTCTCTCTCTCTCTTGTAGGTTTGAGATTGAAATTGAGCCTCTGTTTGCCAGCATTGCCCTCTATGATGTTAAAGAAAGGAAAAAGGTAAGAAAGCAAAGAGTACGGGGCGGGGGGACAGAAAGCCCGTGTGCAAATTGCACACCCTGAGGCACACATATTAGTCATGATTCCTTGGGTTTATGTTCTTAAATTTCAATTCTATGCAACAAATGTACATCAGATTTGAAAGCAAATGACCTTTAATGGGTTCTTTTCTGTTCAACCTTTGCAATTTTTTAAACAATAATCTGGGAACGTCTTTTTTGTTCTCTGAAGAATCTTGGAGGGGAAGGCCTGCTGGAAGTGGTGTTCTGGCTGGGACAGGGAGAGAAGTGAAATAGTCAACACGTGGGGGTATGTGTAAAACAAACCAACCTAAATGTGTTTAACCAGCCTGGATATGCATGTCATGTTTCCTGGGTTTGAGAGTCCTTTGCACTGTGAAATGGGCTCGTCACAAATGGGAATCATCTTGTGCCGGAAAAGTCTAAATTTGCCGCAGGGCAAAGACCTTACCAAATGTAATGTGCTTTTAATGGAAACAGTGACCCAAGACTTTTCCATGAGTGTTTTAATGTTTAGTCATTTTCTAACTCCTAGGGGATAACACTAGCAAAGCCTAGAGTAAGAGAGATACTTCTGCCCCCTCTGAGCCCATAACCATCTGTATTTAAGGAAACATATATTTCTCGGATAAATATTAATAGTCACTGAGATTTGTATTAGGGTAGGTTAACTGCTATAACAGTAGACCTCGAAATTCAGTGGCTTAAAGGAGTAGTTAGTTCTCAGACTTGAGTATGCATCTAAACCCCTGGGAGGACTCATTAAAACATAGATTGCTGGGCTCTGCCCCCAGAGTTCTGGATTCGGTGGGTAGAGCCCAAGAATTTGCATTTCTAACAAGTTCCCAGGTCATGCTTGAAGTTGCTGGTCTAGGAACCACATTTTGAAAACCACTGGCTTAAAAAAAGAAAAAGTTTCTTTGTTTCTTTACAATCCAAACTCGGAGTGGGGTGGGGGTGGGGGGTTGATCCCTCTGCTCCACACAGTCACTCAGGAACCCAGGCTGGCCATGGCTCCTCCTTCTTCAATCTGTGCTCTCCACAAATCACTCTTGTCACTGCCATTGATGCCTCAGAAAACAGGGAAAGAGGGCCTGAAAGTTGGACCCTTCTATTCAGCTCACAATTTGTTGGAGAGTATTTAGTCCCATGATCCCCCCTCATTGCAAGGGAGGCTGGTAAATGTAGCATCTGCCCCGGCAGCCACCTCCCACCAAAGCTGTCTTAGAGATGAAGGGAGAACCCAGCTCTGCAGTAGCTATTACATAACTGCACCAAGTGAGCCACGGAGCACCGTTCATGTTATGCTCTTACTCGAAATCTTTGATGGCGCCTCACTATCTACAACATTAAGAACAAACTCTTTAGCTTCCCTATCAGACTTTCAGCATGGCTCTCCATAGACTTTCTTTCCCTCTGCAGCCTAGTCAGGGTCCATCTGGACCCCTGCTAACTAAGCTCACTGCAGGCGTTCCAACCCCTGAGATGTTATTTGTCCATGCTATGTTCTCTCCCTGGCACACCTTCCCCCTCTACCTCTTCCCATCAGAATCTCCTTCCGAGGCCTATCTCTCTCCAGGGCTTCTTCCTTGAAAAGTTTCCTCATTACCCCAACTGAAAATGACTTGTCACTCCCTAGAACTCCATCATGCTTCTGTGTGTGCCGTTGGTGACTTCTATTCTGCTTTAACTGTAGTTAGCTACTTTGCTTTTTCTCTGATTCTTGATTGTAAACTAATTGAGGGTGGCAGCAATGTCCTGCTCTTCTGTGGTGGTACCGAGCACTTCACTGACTCTCAGGGAATGCTGGGCTAAGAAACATTTTGATGTTTCAAGGAACATCTCTCCAATGGCTCCAAAATATCTAGAAATTGTGACAGACCATTTGTCAGGACCAGGCATGGCGGCTCACACCTGTAATCTAGCACTCTAGGAGGCCAAGGCGGTGGATTGCCTGAGTTTAGGAGTTTGAGACCAGTCTGAGCAAGAGTGAGACCTGGTCTCTACTAAAAATAGTAAAAACTAGCCGCGCTTTGTGGCACAGGCCTATAGTCCTAGCTTCTCGGGAGGCTGGGTCAAGAGGCTTGCTCAAGCTTAAGACTCTGTAGTTGCTATGAACTATGATGACACCACAGCCCTCTACCTAGGGCAAAAGAGTAAGACTCTGTCTCAAAAAAAAAAAAAAAATTGTTAGATTTTCCGGCAGCCACTTGTCATAAACCGTATCTATGCCTATACTTATTCTTTCAGTGGAATTTCTTTATGGTGTTTTCACTCTTTTTTAACATGTTTAGACCATGGATACAGCAGGTCTAACTTATTTTTCACATTGCTGCTCATTTATAGATCTCAGAAAACTTTCACTGTGACCTGAACTCGGACCAGTTCAAAGCATTTCTGCGAACTCACACGCCTTCCGTTGCCACATCAAGCCAGGCGAGATCTGCCGTCTTCTCAGTCTCCTACCCGTCCTCAGACATCTACCTAGTGGTCAAGGTAATTAACCCCATTCTGATTGGCACCCCCCGATGTTCCCTTGCTGCATTATTCCCTGCACGTTTGGGGTGAGACAGACATCAGAACATGTCTACATGTCCTCTGTGAGATTCACATCATTCCCTTCTCAACTTACCCCTTTCCCTTACAAACAAATTCTATTTTAGATACTAGAAAGACTATGGTTCTGGAGTCAAGACAGTCCCAGGTTTGAATCCTGGCTTCACAACTTAGTAACTATGTGACTTTGGTAATTGCCTGACCTTTCTGAAAAGTGGGGATTATCACACTGACCTCAGTGGCTAGTCATAACTACAGAATAAAGCCTGGCCCATCTTATGTACCTGTGTTAGTCCATTTTATACTGCTAAAAAGGAGGACCTGAGACTGGGTAATTTGCAAAGAAAAGAGGTTTATTTGGCTCCCGGTTCTGCAGACTATACAGGAGGCATGACCCCCCATCTGCTGCTGGTGAAGGCTTCAGGGAGCTTCTAATCAAGGGGAACAGGTGTGTCTCTAGCAGAAAAGGAACAAGGCCGGGAGGTGGGGGAGTACCGGGTGTTTGTAACTACCAGTTCTTATGTGAACTAATACAGAAAACTCACTAATTATTTCAAGGAAGGCACTAAACCATTCCTAAGGGATCTTCCCCCATGACTCAAACACCTCCCACATCCAACACTAGGGATCAAATTTCAACAGAGATTTGAAGGGCAGATCATCCAGACCACTTCAGTACCCTCCCTCCTAACTGAGAAAAGTTCCCTCAGCTATCTGTCTGGGTGAGGCTACTATGCAAAAAGAAAATCTCTCTGGTAGAGTTTCCTAATGATGTTCACTTTCCCTAGAGACCCGTGGTTAAATGTTCTCAAGTCCAGACTCTGGCAGTTTGTGGCTTCCAAGTTTCACTCTTCCTATCTTCAGGTCACAGACGGAGGGCGCTTAATGAGAGTCAAAATCTGTCAGACAATAGGTAGAAGAAACTTTCATTCTCAACTGTACTCTTCGCTGATACAAAAAAGAAAAAAAACAGTCTTTCTTTATATACCAAAATGACTGGTGATAAGTCCATAAACATTGGATATTTTTTATAAGGCCAAATAATGAGTCTTATTAACTCTTTATACCAAAATTTTAAAACAAAATGGAACAACAAATCCAGATGTCTGATTTCATGTGCACCCAGCCTTCTGTGTTGGAAACCTTTTCTAGCCAGCGTGGTGTTTCATGTCCATCATATCAGTGATTCCCCCAAGATCTCACGGTGGTAGGAGCATGTAGATTCCAAAAACCTCGGGTCATTTGAAGGCTCCTGAAAAGGTAGCAAATGCCTTTCCATCCCAGCTTCCTTGACACCATTTTACAAAGATGACAGTTTATTTGAAGGAAACTTCAGTTTATGGAAGAAATATTTAAAATTCTCTTGCTAAAAAGACACATCTATGGTCATCAAACTTTAATATGTGTCCTTTTCATGGCCATATAGGAAAATGAGCTTAAAGTCCACAACAGCAGCCCTGAGGTTAAATTAAAAATTCTTTCTCAGCCTGTGAAACCAAGGAAACCAACACTAGTTCAATGGAGCCAAATTGTATTTAAAACTCTCACTTCTCAGTGAATGACTTCATTCGGATGAGTTCACAGTCGTCTGCCAAATCACAGTGCTTTACCAAGTGGTTACTATCACTTATGAAATATGTTCCAAAATGTTCAGAAGTGTGAATGTATTCGTTTGGCAATAACAGACATACTCTACATTGTCTGGATACAATTGAGAAATTTGAATCTACACAGCAAGACCGTCCCTGGTTTGCTTTCTGTTTTTTTCACTGCAATGCCATCATTGCTTCTTTCCCCTTAAATATATGGTGAATGGTGTAATATGTCCAGACAGATGTCATTTGACAAAGAAAGGCTGCTTTTTTGGTTTTATTCCCAACCTGGACACCGAGATCTTCACTGTATTTTAGGAGGAGTCATCTAGCTCTGGTGTTGCATATAGGTTGCTTAAAGGAGTTATTTCCAGCTTAGAGGCTTAATTCAAGATTTTGTGAAGGAGATAAAGTATTCATTTTGCAATTGAGGGATAGAATGTGAGGGTTGGAGTGAATCTTTTTTAAAAATAGACATGCCAGGCATGGAACTGGCCCTTCCTGAATAGAGCAGAAAGTAGCCGCTCCACCTTATGGATTTCCCAGGTTGTGTGACAGGCGCCTTTGCCCTCCCTGCCATGGTTAGCAAGACTCTTTCATGCACTTTTCCATAAATCGTGAAGGCCCATACAGTGGACTGTAGACTCCCAGCAGTCTGCAGCTCCTTCTCAGGGAGTACCTGGCGTTACCTTGGCCCGGTGCAGTACAGGGAGTAGTATCTGCTGGTCTGGTCGAATCTGGATTCCCCCACTTCTAGATGCTGGAGAACCCCATCTTGTATGTTCCAGTCTTCATACTACTAGGGTATGAAGCCAGGGCATTCCCATTCCTTACTTCAGGGTCCTAACTACAAAGTTCTTAACCTTTGTTCAAAATTCATTTTAAAGACCACATTTGTAATCCATTGCTTCATGGAAAAAGTAGCTGCCTTCCAGTTGTTCTACAAGCTCTTGACTATGAGCTTCAGGAGGACAGGGGCCATTATTATTGGTTTTCAGAAGAATAGGGATCATGCTTGTTGTGTGATCAAGAGAATGAGGATGGGGTGGCACCTGTGGCTCAAAGGAGTATGGCACCAGCCCCATATGCCAGATGTGGCGGGTTCAAACCCAGCCCCCGCCAAAAACTGCAAAAAAAAAAACAAAGAGAGAGAAAGAGTCCATGCTTATGCCACCTTATCTCCCCAGCTGCTCCCACACAGAAGGTACTCAACATATATTCCTGGAATGAATGAAGGAAATGGTTGCTGATTAGCAGAAATGCTGGTCATTTCTAGCTCAAGTGTTATGAGTCCGTATTTTCAACACTGTGCCTCTCTCAATGGGATCAGCTGTCTTTTCATGTTATGGCAATGGGGAGGGATTTTAAACTTCTTTTGTGAGAAGAGGGACTTCCTGCTTCAAGTCCTCACTAAAACAGGTGTCTACTAAGCTGCCTCCTGCCACTTCCTTTGAAATCCCATTAAACAGCCCTCTGGATGTTTTCTGGATATTCTGTTTTAAATACTTGCGCCTCACTGGTAAGGCCTATTAAGACTATGTGCCCATTGAAATATGTTGCCCCCAATTCCTTTTTCAAGGATCATTTCAGCTAATGACATCAGCTTAGGGGACTAAATCTACTTGCTTTTCTCTTCAACATCTAAGTTAAATTTTCTTTTAGCAGGGAGTCAGGAAATTTCAAATTTCTCCTTGTCTTTTTCCTAAACGTGGTCTCCAACTTGATGGCAAATAGCCAGCCAGCTCTTTGCCTGGAGCAAGAAGGGAGAAGCCACTTGACAGGAGACGCATCCACTCCTGTCACCAGACCGAGATGATGCAGCCCACCCCAATGCTTTGAGTTTCTTTCCAAGTCTGCGAAATCCAGAAAATTAGCCTAATAGGAAATACCAAGGAGACGATTACAGATAATTTATTCTATTCATTTATTCATTTTGCGGAAGGTTTTCGTCCCCAACCTGACTTCTACAGAGACCATATCTCTTTTTTACACTGTAAGCAATAATAGAGAAAATGAGCTTTCCACTTCCTACACATGTCTCATAGGTTTTGTTTTATAAAATAACTTTTATTACATTTTTTTATTGTAGACATAATACATGTTTACTGTTGAAAAATAAAAAATACACATAAGCAGTAGGAAGAAAATAAAAATCACACATAATCCCGCCATGCAAAAAGAACTACGGTTAACATTTGCTGTGTGTCTCCTGTCATCCTTTTAATATGCCTCGGTGAGTTTTTTAATAAAACCATATGGCACCCTTCATACTAATTTTTTTAAATCAAAAAACATATATCATAGACATCTTCCTGTGTCATCAAATATGGTCATAAGATATAATCTTAATTATTACACAGATTCCTTTATGTGGATGGAATTCACGTGCTTTATTTTGATGTTATTTTTGTTGGTAGATCGAAAAAGTCCTGCAGCAGGGAGAGATTGGAGACTGCGCAGAACCCTACATGGTTATCAAAGAGAGTGACGGTGGAAAGGTATGATATTTGAAAATTGCTAAATGGTGACATCCAGGGAGGTATTTTTAGAAGCATTTCACAAAAGAGTTAATAGGGCTTAAGGGTTAGTAGGGGGACCACACCTATGGAGCATATTGCAAGTACAAGTTGGATCTATCAGGTGTAGAACGCAAATGTCTTAATCCTGTAATTGGGTGAATGAGGTGAAGGCTATGTTGATTAGTAGGATGTAAGCACTCCGATTTGTACAAATAATCAACACACTGAATCCCACAATGGCATAAATGTATTTATGCTCTATGTACAAATGACTGAATAAAAAAAAAAGGGGTTTAGTTTATAATCTGTCCCTATACGAGACTCTAATATATTGACTTTAAATGAAAGAAGAAAAAGAAACTGGCCAGTGATGATAACTTTTTAAAAAACTAAATCGTTGAACTCACTAATGATAACCTACATCAATGTATGACCGTGTAACTTGACTGGGACAAAGCCACCTCCTATTATCTTGGTTCTGAGGCTCCAATCCAGCTGATTAGGAGGGCCACAGAAGCCTCACAAAACTAAACAGTACCAGAGGTCTCCTGGTCTTCTTCAACACCATGTACCATTGTGATTTCTGGTATGGATAATTGAGAATTGCCCATCACCACTGTACATCATAAATTCATTAACACAGGGTAGTTGTTGAGCTCAGAAAAGGACATGTTTTCTTAGCAGCAATTTACAAAGTTCCCAGTTTGATTTTTTAAACATGGTCTTTCTAGAATAAGACTTACCTAATCTGTATTCTGCTACAGACTCCTAAATTTCAAGTAAGATTTATTGAGCTCAAGACTTGTTTTTATATCTGTCTTTTATTCTAAACTGAGAAAGAACACCTGAGAAGTGTTATACATTTCACAAGGAGTTGTTAGGAAACCTTTTAGAATTTCTTAGAATTTTCCAAGGTAATTTTTGAAAAACAGATTCACATGGGAGGTTGGTAGATAATATGCTAAACTTTTTTTTTTTTTTTTTTTTTTTTGAGACAGAGTTCCTACTCAGTTGCCCTGGCTAGAGTGCAATGGCGTCATAATAACTCACTGCAACCTTAAACTCCTGGGCTCAAGCTATCTTCCTGCCTCAGACTCCTGAGTAGCTGAGACTACAAATGCTTTTTTCTAGAGACAGGTTCTCATTCTTGTTCAGGCTGGTGTCTAACTCCTGAACTCAAGCAGCCCTCCAGCCTCAGACTCTTAGAGTGCTGGGACTACAGGAATGAGTCACTGCACCCAATCTATACTAAACTTTTTATTGCAAGAGTCTCTTTTGGAAATCTAAGTCACATGCTAGCCACCAAAAGAATCAATCTTTGATTAGCTGGTAAAACAAGCCTTGGACTTCTTTTTAGCTGAAGTTGTAGTTTATTAATTGAATGTAGACTTTCATGAAATGCCTCACTTTTCAATCTATTTTCTTATCCGATAGACTTTTGGCCCAAGTTGAGTCATTTTTCTGCCTGTGCACTCACTCTTTTTCATCAGTAGGGTTTGAACCTTGGGGATGGCTGTCACATCTGTGTCAGAGGCAGCAGACTCAGTATTGACGTTTCTTCCCACTTTCCTCTAGAGTAAAGAAAAGATTGAAAAACTAAAACTTCAAGCTGAATCCTTCTGCCAGCGTTTGGGGAAATACCGGATGCCCTTTGCCTGGGCGCCCATCAGCCTAGCAAACTTCTTCAACGTGTCCACCCTTGACAGGGAGGTAATGGATGTGGAGCCCACGGTTGGTAAGCTTTTCATCTGCAGTGGGAAGGGGAGAGCTCCCCGCATTCCAGCTCTGAGCTCAGCGGCTTACTGGTGGGGACTGGGGCTGCAGTAGGTTTGGGGAATGGTGGAAGGAAGAGGGAGCTAAAGTATTATGACGGATTACATTTGTTTGCTGGGATAATAATCTTCCAAAAAATTATCATGGGCTCTCATGGAAATTAAATATACTCTTAGCGTAAGATTTTCTAGGATGGTTTGACACTTTAAGAAGTTAATTTTTGGCAGCTACACCTTCTGAAAAGTGAAATTTTAAAGATAACAAGAAACATACACTGGTTTTTCTTCCAATTTAATAAAAATAACAAGAAACAGCTAGCCAAGCATTGTGATGGGCGCTGTAGTTCCAACTACTCGTGAGGCTGAGGCAAGAGGGTCACTCGGCCCCAGAATTTGAGATTGCTGCGAGCTATGATGCCACAGGACTCTACCCAGGGTACAGAGAATAAAAAATAAAAATAAATAATAAGAAAACGTAGTAACCATCTCTGTTGTATTTATTACACAAAACCGCCATGGTTGGCTCCTAAACATGGGAAAGGATTCTGAGACAAAAAGGCTTCAAAAAAGCAAAACTCAGATTTCACAGTGAAATTTCTAGTCCCTTGACGTTTTCTTTGTCAAGTACGGTGAAAAAGTGGGTGCCAGAAGACTATGTAGTTACTGTTTTAATTGATTTAGTGTATTTCTTTTTCATCGCCTCACCATTGATCTGAATCATTAATTCTTAAACTGTGTGGGTCTACAGCTTTTCAAGAGGGTTGCAGAATCTCCGCCCCCCACCCCCTATTGTGGTGGGGTTTCTGTTTACCTAAATGCCTTTGTATCAAGGAAATACTTAGGTCCATGGTCACATGCCTTATCATTCCTTAGCTCCACCACTTCTAAAATACTGCCTTTAGCAGGGAAGGGGGAGAAAAGGCGCCTTTTTATTGCCGCTGTTACTCTGGAGTTATTGTTTCATAGTCAGGAGTCAGGGCCCCGGTGATCTCTGACTTGTCGATAACAAACCTCACTTTGCCGCGTCCTCACCTTCACGCCACAGTTGTTTTTAATGCCGTCTTCTATGTAGACCCATATGGCTTAATTGAAAGAGGTCTGTGTAGAGTTGAGAGGGTCTCATAAGCTAGATAATTCAGGGGTAGGCCTGCTCAGGCTTCAGTAATCTCTAGGTCAAGGATCAATTAGCCTGCCCACAGAGACTGATTCCTAAGACGAAATCAGAAGAGTCACCTGTCATACGGAGGTGACGTGGCACATTTAGGTGGGGAATGGTAGAAAGAAATTCCAATGCAACAGCATAATACAAAATAACGTTAAGAGGATGTATTTAAAGACCAGAGTTGGAACTACTAGAATTCCAAGCAATTTGATTACTTACCCCAGAACTCTGAGTTCTGTAGTGTAAAGGCAGTGAGATTTCCACCTCACTTCCAAAAGGGGCTGAGAAACAACTGAGCAGAGCATTGGGGGCCAGCCCAAGTTTGGGTGTGTTTGGGGGTTCTAATTCCTGTTAAGGCAACCAGGGCAGACACTCAGTTCTGCCACCTGGTCCCCACAGTGAGAGCAGAGGAAAGCGGAGACACAGAATGTACACATGCTGGCCCCAGTGTGTTTGGGACACAGTCCCAAATGCCTTCAGGGGCATTTGAGTCCACGCCTCTCCCAGTGGGATGCAAATACAAAAATAAAACCAAAGCAAACACTGTGCTGACTAAATAGAGCTTATCAGGAGACCCCGTTCTGGCCACAGCTCTGGACTCTTGCTGTGCAGCATCTGGTCTGCCCAGATTTCCACGCAGGGGATGGCCACAATCAGAGTTCTTGTTCAGTGACTTTTAACAGATCTTATATACGGGAAAGTTAGTAACTCCTGTGGATTCAAACAGAGAGACACACTTTAGAATGACAGTTGATTTCTTTAAAGGGAGAAGCTCAGTGGGTGAACGGAGGACCTTGGCCCAGTCTAGAAGACTTTCTGAAAGAGCCCTCTCCGTGGAAGAAAATGGGGTTGGATTCAAACCCACCACCTTGACCATTAACACCTTTTTCAAGCAGGTATCTCTTCACATTAATATCACATGTCTGGATTTGCCCCCATATTGGCATGGGTCTTGCAGTCCCAGGAGGAGTACACATAGCTAATATCACTGTCTTAGTCTATTTCTTGTTTGCTTATAACAGAATACTTGAAACTGGGTAACTTATAAAGAAAAGGAATTTATTTTTCACTGTTTTAGGGGCTAAGAAGTCCAAGGTCAAGGGGCTACGTCTGGCGAGGGCCTTCATGCTAGTGGTGAATCTGCAGAGTCTCAAAGTGGCATAGGGTATCATGTGGTACAGGCACTGAGCATGCTTCCTCTTCATATAAAGCCATCGTTCCCCCATGACATCTCATTAATTTATTAACTCACTAATCCATTAATCTGTGAATGGATTAATCCATTCATGAGGGCAGAGCCCTGATGGCCCGATCACCTCTTAAAGGCTGCCCCTGTCAACACCACCACATTGGGGACCCACCCTCAACCTGAATCTGGGAGAGGACATTCAAACCATAGCGCTCAGTTAACCCTCCATCTGCAAAACAGGGATGACGGCAGTGACTTCATGTGGCTGGTGGGAGGGTCAGTGAGCTGAGGACTGCATGCAGAGCTCATCCCAGAGTGCCTACAATACAGTAACTGCGCAGGGAGTGTCTGCTGTGTAAACTGAGAAGAGGATTCATTCACATTAATACCAACCATCCTGTTTGCACTATCTCGGTCAATCCTTTTCTTAGGCTGTGGGTCAGGGTTTCCTGGCTTGGTATTCTCCTTCTCACCTCTGTTCCTTCTGCAAGTTTCCAGGGCAGCCTGCTTGTCAGAGAGGGCGACCATTCCAGATGGTGCTCTCTGTTATCTCAGTAAACATCAACACTGTGTTAAAAATAAGAAACTTCCTAGAGTCCTCAAATGCATAGAGACAGACAGTAGAATGGTGGTTGTCAGGGTCTGGGGAAAGGGGAGTGGGCAGTTATTGTTTAAAGGGAATAAAGTTTCATATTAATTTTTGCAAGATCCAAGAGTTCTAGAGATCAGTTGTAAATGCACTTAACACGAGTGAACTGGACACTTAGAAATGGTTAAGATGATGGCTCTGTGCCTGTAGCTCAGCGGCTAAAGCGCTAGCCACATACACTGGGGCTGACAGGTTCAAACCCGGTCTAAGCCTGCCAAACAACAATGACAACTACAACAACAACAACAACAACAACAAATAGCCAGATGCTGTGGCGGGCGCCTGTAGTCCCAGCTACTTGGGAGGCTAAGGCAAGAGAATCACTTGAGCCCAAGTGTATGAGTTTGCTTGAGCTGTGACGCCACGGCACTCTTCCGAGGGCAACATAGGGAGACTCTGTCTCAAAAAAATGAAATGGTTAAGATGGTAAATTTAATGACATGTATTTTGCCACAATTAAAAACAAAACTTCCCTTAAGACTTGGTATGACTCTTTCAGAAAGGTTTCCATAGCTCACACAGTCTTCATGGGGGCATTTAAAGGGAGTAGGTTAACAAACTAATGTAGAAGGGATACTGAGGGAGCCTGGGTCCCATGCCACAAAAAAGAAATCAAGAGTCTGAAAGGGTTTCTATTTGAGATACAGCCCTTCCTGATTTTATTACTTTAGGGGCCAAGGTTCTTAACTGTCTGAATTTTCTCATTGAAAATAAGACATAGGTACTTACCTACCCTACCAGGTTGCTGTAAGGACTGGAGATCACACATATTGGTCCTTGCAGAGTTCCTATCCCATAGTGGGCACATGGAGGGTAGTGTTTATGCTTAAGCTTCTTTTCAAGTGTGAAGGAGATGAGATCAGATTTTCTCATCATCTCTCACTCCACTCCCCTTCCTCCAGACCCTCAGATTAGGAAAGATGCTTTTTCCACCTTTGAATCTTTGCAGAAAAAAGTAAACTTATTCTGTATTGTTCCAAAAAGTAAAACTAGCGTCAGTAGGTGAAGTTACAGGGGGAGAAGCTCTCAGCCTAGATTTCTCCTGGTCAAACAGGCTTCCTTAGAATGCGGTAGAAGCCCGTTCCTAGAAGAGTGGATGAGAGGCTAAGTCATGGTGAGCAAAGAGTGATTGGGAAGGAATAGTTTACAAGAGGTTGAACTGAATGATTTCAGAGTCGCCCATAATCCTAATTTCTAGGAAAGACTCATGAGAATAAAACTTAAAGGTAAAAATCTTCCCAGAAATCTCCAGTTCCCAACCCAGGAGTTGGTGGTGTATCTACCCTGACCGTGACTTTTTTCTTGGCAGGAGGGAGATCGCCTTAGTGATGAAGACTTATTCAAGTTTTTAGCCGACTTCAAAAGATCATCATCTTTACAGAGACGGGTCAAGTCAATTCCAGGTGTGAATGGCTTGTCTTTATGCCCCCTTAGCTGGACCAGTGCCATTTGTGTTTGGACACATTCTTTGTCCAATCCTAGAATTTATAAAATCGTATTTGCTAAGTGAAACATGGGATTTGTGCAAAAGAAGTTAAGACTCTGAATTGGTATACATTTTTGGAAAATCTATTAATGTTTTCTATTTTTATTTAAAGGATTGATCCTATAAATATATACCTTATGCTTTAGATCTGGTTTCTCAGATAATTGAATTGTTTGTCATATAAAATATTATATGGAACCCTTAGTATTAAAAAAAATTAAATGTGAGATGCTTTTGGTAGAAAATAAAGTACCTTCCCTGTCCTCAGTTCAACAGCCCCTGAGATACTTCTGCAGCCCCCTTGAGTATAAGGGAACCCCAATTCGAAAATTATCCATTTTTACTGATAGCAACACAGGGAAGTTTCCAACCTAGGAACTATTGAGTACTGAGGTAATTTTGGAAGGAACTTTAAAAATTTTCTAATCCATTTCTACTCATTTTATTTATTTATTTATTTGCTGCTTTTATTTCATAACAACTAAATCTCAAAAAAATTATCACAATACCCTTTTTCTCCAACTAAAGAAAATTAGCCCCAAACCCTTTGCATTATCATAATTTATCCTGCATATGTCACTACGAAAGTTTTGAGACAGACTGTGTTCTGGTCCATGACTTCACGCGTGTTTTTGTGAAAGGAATCTAGTCCAACCACCTTTCCGGATTCCCTCATAACATGCCGACTTCTTCACTAAAACAGCCCTATTTTCTCTCTTTAGGCTTGCTCAGGCTGGAGATCTCTCCAGCTCCAGAGACAATCAGTTGTTGTCTGACTCCTGAGATGTCGCCTGTGAGACCTTTTCCTGAAAACCGGACACGTCCACACAAAGAGATTTTGGAATTTCCAATACGAGAAGTCTACGTCCCACATACTGTGTACAGGTGAGAAACGCAGGGGCTCTGAAAACTTTTGAACTTATATTTTAAGTTTTTTTGTTTGGTTTTTTTTTTTTGAGACAGAGTCTCACTACATCCCCCTCAGTAGAGTGCCATGGTGTCGCAGCTCACAGCAACTTCAAACTCTTGGGCTTAAGTGATTCTCTTGCCTCAGGCTCCCAAGTACCTGGGACTACAGGCACCTGCTACAATGTCCAGCTATTTTTTGGTTGTAGTTGTCATTGTTTTTCGGCAGGCCCGGGCCGGGTTCAAGCCCCCCAGCTCCTATGGAAGTGGCTGGTGCCCCAGACCCTGAGCGACCGGTGCCGAGCCCGTATTCTGAGTTTTATTTGGATAATGCTTTCATCAATCCTTCAACCTATCTTCTTATTTCCTAAGTTTTGGGGAAAGTGAAATGTGATATTTATGTAACTATAGATGATTGCTAGATCTCTTTCAAAAGATTGTTCATCTAATTGTCTTTAACAGGAAAGTGTTAGACATAATTCTAATTTAGGATTATAGTGGGCATATTCTTTTCAGAAGTGAAAACAATTCTCCAAGTCATTACCGTGGCTTTTCTCTACACAGGAGGACATGTTGGAGAAAGAGCAATGGGATGGATATGTTCCAATTGTTGAAAATAATGGTTTTCAGCTCAAGACCAGTGCTAGCCAATAGAATTTGTAGCAATGACAGAAATGTCCTGTATGTGGGCTGCCGGTACAATAGTCATTAGCCATTAGCTACATGTGGCTAGTCAGCATTTGAAATGTGGCTAGTGCACCAAAGGGAATTTTAATTCTCTTTAATTTGAATTCATTTTAAGTTAAATTCAACTAGCTGCGTGTGGCTGGTGACTACCCTATCAGAGAGCACAGAGCCAGACAGTAAAGGCCTGGCAGTTGGGCTGCCTGGGTTTCTGAGTCATACCTGGGACCACCTGACTTGTCCTGTGGATCTGGGGAAAGTGCTTGGCAGCATGCATCCGCAAAGCATTACTGCTCACGCGCTTTTATTCTATTTCTTATTGTGAAAACATTTCTTTTAATCCAGAAAAGAATGCTACACACATAGCAATCATCTTTTCCTCCCGCCCAGAAATAACACTGCTGTTCTTTATATTTTTTACATAAAAGAAAGAAAGTCAGGCTAATGAAGTTGGGGTCTTCTCCATCCCCAGCCTCTAGTTACAGACTCCGACCTTGCCTCCCAAACATTGTCATTATCATGAACTTCTGTGTTTCCTTTCGTTTTCCGTGGTTTTACACACACGCAGATACACACACACATATCTGTGAACAATGAATGGTATTGATTTATATTCATTTAAGATTTACATAAATGACTTCACTCCGTGCGTTAGACTGCACTTTGCTTTTTTCACTTAACAGGTTGATATTTCCTTTCTTTTTTACTTTTGGTTTGGCTATGACTACAGACTCATGAATTTTATAGACTCAGTGTTACATCTAATTGTGTAAATGTCATTTATTCTTTTTAGTTACCCAGATTTTCACACAAGTAACCAGTGGGAACTTCCTCACAGCTTGTATTTTAGACATCTCGTGGTTGACTTATATAGAGCTCTGTCATTCTTTTTCACTACTGTATGGTATTCCTTTGTGCAAAGAGGCCACATTTTATTTGTCCATTTTCTTATTGATAGACATTTATGAATTTGGGGCTCTTACAAACCCTGTGCATTTTTTTTTTATTTCTCTGTGCACATATGTCCCCGAGGAATAGGCCTGAAGGTGAACTTTCTGGGTTGCACAAGCAATACACATTTTCTTTTTTTTTTTTTTTTTTTTTGAATGGTAACTATGTACATTAATGCACTTCTGGGGTACAGTGTGGGGTTTTCACATACAATCCGAAACACTTCCATCAAGCAATACACATTTTCAGTCGTCGTCATATGGCCACTTTTTTCCAAAGTTATATCAGTTTGCCATCCTGCCAGCCCTGTGAGAGTTCCCTAATCCCAGTTCCTCACTTTCCACTGGGACATATGTGGGACCAAAACGCAAAGAACTTCAGAGCTCCCCTGAGCCTGATCTAAGCCCCCCAGCCTCACACTTCCAGGTGTACAAAATTGAGACCAGGAAGGGATAAGTATTGATTCATTGAGGCCAAAACTTGCAGTGAGAAATACAAGCAACCGTATCAGTTAGCGGGGGACGGCGCTCTGGGAGCTGCACACGCGTTTCCCACACCAACCCTTCCCAAAGCAGCTCTCCATTTTCAATCCTCATTCCTTAAATACAAACGCAGCCCCCAGGGTCCCTCCTCGATGAGCATTCCTAGGATGCAGTAGGCTCAGTTCTTTTCTCCAGAGTAAGAGGGAGGCAGAAAAGCGTTCACTTACAGAGGCTGTGTTTGTATCTTTTTAGAAATCTCATCCTATGATTTGGTGAAAAAAATATGTGTGGCATTGGAATAAACTTTCACCAAATGAATTCTGTAGTTATTCAGCTTCCTCTCAGCATTTAATCACCCATGGCAGGCATTTACAACTCTGGGTACTCCTTGCTGCAAACATTATCCCTTAATTATATCACAGCAGGAGTTGGAATGCATTAGCGCACTGAGCGATTCAGTAATGTAGGAGGGCAAAGGAGGACAGGTCTGAACAGATTACTGTGGACCCGACTTGGTATCATGAGAAACAGACCCACAAGCACAGAATGAATGGCCCTCAACTGTGCTGGACACTGTGGAAATGCATCGGAAACCAGGTGTCTTTGTTCTTGGGAAACATAGAAGATACTTCCCTTCAATTGGGTTGTAGCACCTTCTAGCTCCCAGGCAGCCATATTTTATAGTCTGTTTAAGGAAAGAGAGATTTAATGAACATGGCGGAGAGTCTTACTACATGCAGACTCTAGAGAACTTAAGAGCATCGCGTCTGAATCTCTTGTGATGTCCATTTGTTTAGTGTTTCTTCTCCAGCCCTCACATGCTTTGTTATAGTTGAGATTAAGTTAGTCCTGACAGTAATCTGGCCCTTTCCTACATTTGTAAAACAGAAATGGAATGAATCAAGTCAGGTCTGAAGCCCGGGTCAAATTGGTAAGTTGACTAGGTCTGCTTTGGGTGACCACATCTTCTCATCTCTGTCAATTTTCTCCTGTTTTTGTTTTTTTGCCATCTCCTCATACCTCAAGAAACCTGTAAGATGATGGCGTTTCTATCCCCTTCTCCTCCCCCCAGTAAAATTCTCTTTTCAAGCAAAGATCTGCAAATTTGTTCCCTCTGGATCATTAACAGGCAATGTCTAAAGCCCCTCTCCCAACAGCGTTATCATTTTGGTAGGGACAGCGGTTCTTGTCCCTTTTAGAAAAGTTTTCCTTTGACTTAAAGAATTCTGGCTGTCATTCTAGAGTTTGATTTGTGGGGTAGCTGTCACTACTGACATTGCTATTACCATGCCCATAACTCTTTTACATCTGTATCCCTTTGAGGAAATCAAATAAAGGAAAAATGAGGATTTACAGACCAATAAATCCAGACACTACTTTGTGAAAGATTCACTCACCTCATAGGTTGGAAACATAGCTTGGCTTAAGAAAAGTTGCTCTACCTGGAACTTGTGGAAAATACATCTATTGATTGGGCCAGTTGACTGGCCATTGGGCCAGTCAATGCCTACACCAACAAATTTCAAATGAGGGTACCCTTCACCTAAACTGCAGCATCCCTTTGGGTGGAGGAAACTATTGCCTGGTTTTAATGGACAGTGATGTGTGGCCTTGAGTGCCACTGGTGACAAGAGTCACATACTAAAGAATTCTTATATTGTTGATTCCATTGAACACCGTGTGAGTAGAACCCAAGGCACCTTTTCTTCTTTGAAAGGAGCATCTGCCGCAGGACCTCAGAGTTGGCTTGGCAGAGGCTGCCATTGCCTCCCAACCCTCAGCCCCACCTTCTTCCCTTCAGGTGCCTCCTTTCCTTGTTCTGCCCCTTCAGGTGTCCTCAGTCAGGGTCACCATTCAAGTCACATTCTATGTCATTGCTGCCACCCCCTTCCCCTCCCTCCACACCTCATCCTCCACCACCACCACCCCCATGTCTTGACCTTATTCAAATTGCCTTAAGGCAAAGATCTAGAGTAGAACTACCATAGAACTGCACAGGACTCCCAGCAGTATCCCTGTGAGTCGATAAGGGTCAGGTATTCATGAAACAAACACTTGCTCTTATGGGAGAAAACAACTTCTAGGGCCAGGACCCTGGGTCTTCTGCTTTGCTACATCCAGCCTCCGTGAGATAGAGACACAGGGCGAGACCACTGTCTCATGAACTAGAGCCAGGCATGAGACTTCGGGAAATCATAGCACAAGGACGGCAATTCTGAAAGTAGAACAGAACAACTGGAAAAATTAGGTTGACAAAAAAGATGACCCAAATCCCGGTTTGGCCTTCCTTTGTGCTCAGATTAAGGACATGCTAGTTATTGGCCTACGAACACATTTGAACCAACTCCTGCCTTATTTTCCATGGGGCCCAGCAGCTGGTAATGGAGTCACCAGCTGCTTTCTGGTGGGGGCAGGATGAAAACAGCAGGGGCTGAGGCCAAGGCCCCAGCAGGCCTCTGGGGGCATTCTATCCCGTGGCTGCCCCCGGTTCTGCGCAGAGATCACAGGCACTGAGGTTGTAATGAGCTTGTTAAGCTCCTTGCCCGTCCCTTTAACTGGTGATTACATTAAAGAAAGCCACATAAAGTGCATTTGCATCTCTCATTCCAGCCCCCAGCGCCTCTGAGGCCTTGTTTATCCAATTATCGGACTCGCTGCTGTGGAGGACTGTGCTTGCTGAGAACAAGCATATCAGTGAGAACATGATTTCTTTGATGGATAATTAGCTGTTTTCAAGCCTCCTCCTCTTGAGCTGCATGTTCTCAGACCAGTAGTCTGATCCGGCCTAACAGGAAGAATGGCTCCAGAGAGATGCACAGGCTGCTCCTGAAAGAGTATCTGGGAGTTAGGATTTAGAGAATG